AGGTATGGTGTCACTTGCCTGTAGTTCCAGCTACTTGGAAGGCTGAGGCGGAAGGATCACCTGAACACATTTATCCCTGACACTGTTCTTCAGAAAGAATTTTAAAGAAATCATCTGAACGAGAGCAAAGAAATTAAAAATCACTGAAAGCAACTAGATAAATGAAAATTAAATAATTTATCCCAAACTAGGATTTTTAATATGACTATAGAGGAGTAAAACACTGTTTTTCCATTTATGTTCGTGTGATATCTACTTGCAAACTGGAAAAAAATTGTGTTAATGGCAAATGTATTAAATAAGTTGATTTACTGGGAACAAACAAGACAGATTTCCAAAGAAAGGAAAAAGGCCTGTAGAACAAAGTTTAGGTAAAAATGAAGCATTATAGATTTTGAAATTTGAAGTCAATAAAACCAATGTTCTTTAACTATAGATTTTCAGGTAAATACTTGATACATTGATGTCAAAGATGGGAAATAATTTACTACTTTATAATACCCAGCTGTAACCCAACTCTCAAGATACCTGAGACAGAAAAAAAGTGCAAAGTAAACAATGAAAACAGTTATTTCTAATTTTTTCCTACTCTGGGAAGATAAACTTTCCTCTTCTCTCTAGCCCCATGAATAACTTCTCGGAATATGCTTTTTTGGACTAATCTAATATTTCAGTAGGCCCAGTATGTTGAAAGAAACCAACAACTATACTTTAGTTTCTGTTTTATACAACTACATCTATGCAAAAAAAGAAAAAAGATCAGAAAAATGCATAAATAAATGGACAGCTTGGTGGTGGTAGCATGGCCAATTCCTGAGAAAATACCTACAGTCCAAATTCAAAGTGATTTTGTAGAAGTACAGATGTTGGAAGAAAACTGAAAAGTATTCAGCATGAACAACTGTGAGAACCACATGGATGATTAATAATGCAAGGCAATATACATAGCAGATAGGGAAAAGACAAATTTTTGCATGCATTCATTCAAAAAAACGCAGAATGCTTAATACCATAAAGCAGTGGGCCAGGAGTCAGAGTGCCTGGATTGGAATGTGAACCTCATACCTTACTAGTGAAGTCACTCTTGAGCAAGTTATGTGAAGTCTCTGTCACTCAGTCTTTTCAACTATAAAATGGGGATAATGTTTAATACCTACTAAGTTAAGAAGAATTCAGTGAGGTAATATTTTAAAGGAAATGTTTTCAGGTAGGCAATGGGCATGTAATAATTTCTATATACAAGATTTTTTTTTTTTTGAGTTGGAGTCTCACTCTGTCACCCAGACTGGAGTGCAGTGGCCGCTCCCAGTCACCGCAGCCTCAACCTGCTGGGCTCTGGTGATCCTTCCGCCTCAGCCTTTCAAGTAGTTAGAACTACAGGCGAGCGCTACCATGCCCAGCTAATCTTTTGATTTATTGTAGAGATGAGGTCTCGCCAAGTTGCCCAAGCGGGTCTCGAACCTGCGGGCTCAGGAAATCCACTCACCTCGGCCTCCCAAAGCGCAGGATTACAGGCTGAGCCACGGAGCCCGGTTTATTATTAAGTAGGGTGACATTAGCTATGTCGCGAAAATGTGATCATGTAGGCCAATATGTCACTGTTAACTACATAGTATTATAATTAATGATCCCAGCAAGGCTCAAGGCATAAAACAGTGGCAGAGTAAGCCTGAAACAACATTCTCTGACTTTCCCAGACTTTTAAGCAGGTGTTATTTTCACTTATGGAGTTCCTTTAGACAGTTAGAGCCACCGAGATGAGTAGGATTGGAAACTTAGGTAATATTACTGATATGTGAGAAAAGACTGGAATGTTTCACACTGACCTTTGATCAGAATAGCTGTTTTAACAAAGAACCTGGTGATCCACTGCTCAACATGTTCCCAGAAGATAGAACAAGAGAAAATAAGCAAGCATACTGTGCAAGCTTTTGGCTAGGTACCTGGAAACATTTCTATACCACAAGAATTGCTAAATATTAGAACGGATTGCAGACAGGGGCTCAAGAGTCTACCCCTCTGGAAGTTTTTCAAACAAGAATAAATAGAGTCTCTCTGATTTGCTTGTGATGCTTTAAAATCAGGGCTGAGTGAAGATTAATGGTGCAAACTGCCCCTTGAACGCCTCCACCTTCCCAAGCACTCTCTAAAAGTATAACTTTATATTTGACCTATCATAATCCCTCCTCTGTTGGGTTTGAAGAACTCTCCTCTATCCTAGAATAGAAAAGGGCAACACTATTTCACAACAGTGAGTTCTGAGTAAAATTTGAATAATGTCACGATGAAACATAATGTCCTCATTGCTTCTCAAGTTATTTTACTAAGCAAGCTACCTGCAGATGCCTTGCAATTTAAAAACAGTTCTCGTGAATCTAAAGTCTGAACAGCAGTTCTTTTAAATTCATGATTCCTGGCAGACTAATGACATATGACATTTCTCTAGTAAACCATTAGATGTCCAATCAAGGCAATGGATGAAGGGAGTTTAAAGAAAAGATAACTACCATAGAAACCCTTACCTCTACTAGATAATTAAATGTAAATAGTGTCAAGAACTAGGGAGGAGAGTCGGTTCATTTAATATCAGGATATATTTCCTAAGTGATTATTCCAACAGCAATAGGTAGCATTGAGAAAAGTTTACTTTAGAAAAAAAGTATATCCTTAAGAACACAATTATGTTTCAATTCATTATTTTCCTATCCAATGTGCCTCTGACCCTGTGGTGACCTGTATCTTGATTATGTCTGCCAGCATCAAAGGACACCAGGCTTAATGCAAAGTCAACAGTGTGCCCTTATTCCTGGAAAGTAGGTGAGTTAAACAAGAGTGCACACGTTTTAAAAATTCATAACTAATAAGCAAACACTGTAATTGTAAAAAGGTAGGGAGGAGACAAAAATAATTTAAAAGATAGAAAACCTCTGTGTAGTTAAAAATCCAGTGAAGGACTTCTATTAACCTCTGGGAATATTCTCAACAAAGTAAGTGGTGATTTCAGAAATGATTTTACCCTGAAAAATCTTCACTTTGATATGAAGGAGATTTGCATCCCGCTAAGGGTGAACTCTGGTTTCCTGAGAGCCCCATTATCCACTGCAGAACACTGAAGCAATTTAAAAATACTTAACTATTTTCTTCTTTGAGATATCTTATCTGAAATCATGCTGGGGAATATCTGTGTGTTTAAAAGATACAGTTTGAAAAAGCCCAGATTAAAGAAGAAAAAGTTCCTAGAAGAAGTGATCCATACTACAGACCTTTTAAAAGTTGAATTCTCTGAGATTTAAGAAGGGGGGAAAAGCGAAGCTGATCCTTATCAATTAATTAAAAAGAATGAAATAACAGTAGTCAAAGGAGAAGGAGAGTTAGGAAACTTAAGGAGCTGTGGGGGCAGTAGCTCTCCAGTCATTGATTAACAAATTAAGGAGTTCTGGAAAAGAGGGAAGAAGTGACAGGGATTTAAAAAAAAAAAAAAAAGCGGTCTTACAATTCACCACAGGTTCCGCCTTAGACTCACCAGAGGGAATGTCTGACTCTGAATTGAAAAAGGCTCTCTCTATATCATGCCCTGCGCCGTTTGCGTGATATTTGCGCCGTTGGGGGCGGGGGGCAATGCCCACATTTATGTATAAATGTGTTCATTTCAGTATTTCAGTGTAAGTAAAAACTCTCACTTCTAGAGTCTGGCGCTCAACCGTAATAAAATAGCAATTCCACAACGCAGGGAAACTGGGAGGTGTTCAGATATCTGCAAAACGCTTTTCATCCATCGACCAGTTCGTTGGCGGGGGAAGAAGAAACAGAAAGAGGCGGATGGAAAGTCTGCTTTTTGACTTGACGATCGGAGGTCACTGAGGACTTCGGCTGCCCGGTTTGAGCAGCCCGCGCCCTCGCAGCCTCCCCTGGCCTCCCCCGGCCTCTCCCAGTTCGGTCCTCTCGCAGCCCAAGGATTATCTCGCCCCGACACGTTTCATTCACAGAGCCCGGGAGAAGCTCAGATTCGGTTGGAGCTAAGAGCCGGAAAACATGCACCCAGCCCGCGGCGCAAGTTGGAAACCCATCGCTCCACACACGCTGGCGCGGAGAAAGAGGCTGGGAGCTCTCGGGCTCTCGGCGGAGTGTTAGTGGCCGAGCATGCGGGGAACACGGGGGTCCCCGCACCCGGAGCCGAATTCCCACCTGACCCACTCGCTTAAATTGGCTCGGCTTCCCAGAGCCGGGAGGCCGCGCTCTGGACTCGGCGCTGCGCCGGGTGGCGGGGTGTCCCCCGAACCACGAGTGACCAGCAGCAACTGGGGAGGCGCGGAGCAACCACCAAGGGAGAGCCCGCCCCAAATCTGAAACAGGCAGCGCGTGAACGCCCCAAAGCGGCCCCCGAGGTGCCGGTGTCCGAAGGCCGGGTCCCTGGCGAGGGTCCCCCCACCCAGTCGGGCCAGCCCGGATGCCGCGCGCTCTGCCTCCCCGAAGGACAGGGAGAGGAGAGAGAGACTGGCCGGGGAGCGCTCTGCGTCTCTCCACCGCCCCTGCCGGCGCGAGGGCGGGAGTGGCGAAGGCGCCACTCAGACTGTGGCGCTGGGCAAACTGTGGTCGCAGTTCCTCCAAGTTTGCCGGGATCGGAGCGCGGGATGAGCGCCCCGCTCGGCGATCTGTCCGCGCCCTGCGATCGCCCCCGAGTGTCCCGGGCTCCCCGGGCCCGCCCGGCCTGAGCCACCAACTTAGGGACAGCGAGGCGCGAGATCACTGGGAGCAGGGAAGGACCGAGGGAGCTCCCGCGTGCGCACACACACAATGAGGCAGACGAGACGCACACCTTCCCCCGCCGGGGAAGCCGCGGGAGCATCCGCCGCCCCGCGCGGAGTCTGGGCGTCCCGCGGAGCCCCGGCAGAAAGTGAGCACCGACTCAGCAACAGGGGGAAGGAAGGGGGCGCCGGGGGCCGGGGAGACGCGCGGGATCCGTGGGCTGCATCCCGCCCCGGCCGCGCGCCCGCGCTTACCTGCGATCTCCTGGTAGGGGATGTCCGCCAGGCTGAATCCCTTGGCACCGTACGCCTGGCGGACCTCGCCGCAGCTCCGAGCCTTCACGTCCGCCCCGGCCGGGAGGGACAGCAGCAGCCCCGAGAGGGGTAGAATCACAGCCCCGATCCAAGCAGGCATGGTGCAGCATGCAAATCCAGCTCGGTAAACTCCAGGGCCCGTGCGCTCTTCACCTTGCCCCTCTAGCCGAAAGCCCGCCAGAGGCAGCGGCGCGCTCCTCGCCGCTGCCCAGCGTCACCCCCTTCCGCCAGCCGAGGGGACGAGCAGCGCAGCCCTCTGGACTGCGCTCAGCAAACTTTTATAAGCCAGATGGAGGATGGCAAGCCAACCAGGGCTGGCTGGGAAAGCAGCTGCCTTGCTCCGCTAGCCCCCCAGATCGAAAACGGTGCGAGCAAATCAAAACGAGGAAGGGGAGCAGGAGGCGAAATGTGTTAAAAAGCCACCGTGGGGGTTTCAGAGCCGCAAGCCGAGGTCCGGGCCGCGGAATCCGGGAGCGCGGCGAGCCCGGCTCGCCCGAGTGTGCGGCGAAGGTGGGAAGGCGCGCCGGCTCTCCCCGGAGGGAGATGGACGGGCGAGGGCGAGTGAGTGCGCGCGCGTGTGTCTGTTGGTGTGAGCGCGAGGTTCTCGGGGACGTGTGTGCGTGGAGGTATGTGTTGGGGATCTACGGGATCCAGGGGAAACCTCGGCTTCACACAGGCTGTGGGAGCCTGTGAGAGCCCTCCTGAAATAGGAAGAGAGAAATCCTGGAGACAGACACTGGAGGCAAGAGGGAAGGAGAAAGGAGGGGGGAGAAAGAAACGTGCTACACATTGCACAGCCGAAATTCAGAGGCCGAATCAAAGGCAAAACCTGGACTGGATCGCTTTCCCCTCGGTAGAAAAAAGAAAAAAAAGGAAACGTTCCTATTTTCTCATTCACTTCACATCCTTCATACTGACCCGAAATGCTACCCTTAATGACATAAATAAGCAATCTACAAAGACGAAGTAATTGTAAGTCATTAACTTATGTTATTAAACTATATTTTTGTGGAGGTAGAGAATGCAAGTCCAATTGTTGCTCTTCATATGTGTCCCCGACCTACTGAAACACAAAGCCAGGGGAGAAATAAACATCTGAGGGAGTCTCTGGGTAGCAGAGCACAATCATCTCTCTAACTAGATGTCTAATTTCTGTTTGGCTTTGTTGGGTTTTGTTTTCTGAAGGCAGGTAGTTTGTGCACACATTAGAGATCAATATCTTTGTTTGTTTGCTTAATTTTAAAATGTTTGGTTCTGGACTCAACAATCACCTTCTTTTTCATTTCGAATATTCCATAGCCTTGGATCAGAAATCATGTTTAACTCAGCAGAACCAGAACACAGAAGCAATAAGAAGAGAGAACAAGGACGGGGTGCCTAAAGGAAGACATTGGGGAAGGGAGTGATGTCTGCCTTCCCTCTCACCAGATGCTCTCACATTCTACACTTACCATTTTCTTCCAAGTTAACATAGTTCTCAATTGGAGAATCAATCTATTTTCATCAACATGTTCCCTTTTACACTGATGTTCCGTGAAATGGGATAAAAGTGGGAATTCACGTTTACCTAATTGGCTTTCTTGGGCTAATGGATAGACTGAAGTCAGCTGGGCAGAAGTATGGGTTGAAACCCAGACCTCTTGCAATGCCACTAAGGTAATTTAATGAAAACCAAACCAAAGGAATAATAGTAATAATGCTTCTTCACTTATGTGACTGTATGTATGTTAGGTCAGCACATGATTCAGAACTTATTAGAAGGTAACACCCAGTTTTGTGGAGCTCACCTATGAAGCCACTCATGAAGATGTGTTCCTGATAAGACTACCAGAATGACTCATGAAATTTAAATTATTCTATTTGTCATCTTCCTCATCACAACACATTGGGTACATCTTCTTCCTCTCTTTAATAAATTCCCTGGAAATGTACCCAGAGGAACTCAAATCACACTATGAAAAAGATACCTGAACACGCATATTTATCGCAGCATTGTTCACAATCTCAAAAACATGGAACCAACTGCGCTACCCATCGAAAGAGGACTGGATTTTTAGAAAATGTGTTACAGCCGGGCTCAGTGGCTCAGCCTGTAATCCCGCGCCTTTGGGAGGCTGAGGTGAGTGGATTGCCTGAGCCGGCGGGTTCGAGACCCGACTGGGCAACTTGGTGAGACCTCATCTCTACAATAAATCAAAAATTAGCCGGGAGTGGTAGCGCACGCCTGTAGTTCCAGCTACTTGGAAGGCTGAGGCAGAAGGATCACCGGAGCCCAGCAGGTCGAGGCTGCGGTGACCTGGAGCGGCCACTGCATTCCAGTCTGGGCGACAGAGTGAGACTCCAACCCCCCTCCCTAAAAAAAGAAAAGAAAATGTGCTACATATACACGATGGAATATTATACATCCATAAATAAGGACAAAATTATGAACTTTGCAGCATCTTGGGTGGACTTAGAGGCTATAATACTGAGTGATTTATCACAGAAACAAAGAACCGAGTATCACATGTTCTCACTCATAAGCGGACCTTTAACAACTATTGTACTACTAAAAGAAAGGAATTGGCAGTAGTGGGAAACTGCCTGGGAGGAGAGGAGGGCACACCTCGTCAACAAGGGTACTTGCATAATGAACATTTGTATACCTAACCCTGAATTGCACCCCACATATTTAAAATAGAAAATTCATAAAAAATAAAAACATAACATAAATTCTTCCTTTCCTAACCCACCAAAAAGACTCGTGAGAGACAATCTTTTTTTTTTTTTTAGTTGGAGTCTCACTCTGTCGCCCAGATTGGAGTGCAGTGGCCACCCCCGGCCACCGCAGCCTCGACCTGCTGGGCTCCGGCGATCCTTCCGCCTCAACCTTCCAAGTAGCCGGAATTACAGGCATGCGCTACCACGCCCGGTTGATTTTTTGATTTATTGTAGAGATGAGGTCTTGCTGCCCAGGCGGGTCTCGAACCCGCGGGCTCAGGCAATCCACTCACCTCAGCCTCCCAAAGGCGCAGGATTACAGGCTGAGCCACCTAGCCCGGCTGAGAGACAATCTTATTTAACCTTTGAAAGTTCTTTAAGAATGAAGTTGTCTTATTTACAGGGTGATTTTTTTCCTGTTAAACTTCATAGGTAAAAACAAATAACATTCCTTATCAGCCAGGCATGGTGACTCACTCCTGTAATCCCAGCACTCTGGGAGGGTAAGTTGGGAGGATCGCTTGAGGCCAGGAGTTTAAGACCAGCCTGGGCAACATGAGACTCCCCATTGCTTACCCCCCCAAAAAAAAACAGACCTCCTTAGCTAAATCTTCCTGAAAACCCAACTTCATGATATTTGTGCTAACCAGACAGACCTTAAATTACTGAACTCATTTTCCTCAAAGTCTGAAATAAAGATAAAATTCTAATATCTTTGTGGACAAAGGATGAGGTTGGCAAGATCAGAAACTGCTGTAGCCAAGTCAATATTTCTGTGATATTTGACAATATGATCTCCTGCAAACTTCTCTGTCATTGTGATAGAACATAGGTAGTAAACATTAAGCAATCCAGAGGAAGGGGGTAAAATACACATATACCCTATCTTTGAACCTCATCCTGGTACTCATTGTAATTTACCCTGACTTAACAGTGAATAGCAGATAATTCAGTTTTTAAAAAATGAGATGCAATAAGAACGGGTAAAAGCTAGTATATGTGGTTTTAAATTATTTGGAAATCAACTAATTATTCAGTATTTAATGAACATTCGATTCATCCATATAGCACTAGGCTATTGTACATACCCCCATACTTATAAAAAGGACCTTAGGATTTGTGGCAAGGCTGATAGATGAAAAGAATGACTAACATAAAAATAAATAGTTTAATCCCATCAGGAAGGTCAAACAGTTTAAGGTAGGTTTGTGAACTCTAGTAAGATCAAAGAATTTGCTTTACTTGTTGAGTAATGTAACAATGTTTGTAGTGGCGTCAGAGACAAAGTCAAACATTTCAGCTAATGTGACAGCAGAAGCCTAGACAAGGTATTGAAATGAGCATGGGACATTCCAGAAGCTCATAGAAGAGGCCTGACTTGAAAGAAGAGAGTTCATATTGAGGAGCAATCATTTGACTTAGAAATTTAGCTAAAGGACTTGAACCCTAGACATAGTGTTTATATTGTGTGTAGTAGGAAAAAAAGAACACTGATGAACAGAACACAAGAAAAAGCCAACAAATAAAAGTAAGAGCAGGGAAAGCAGGAGACACATGTAGAACTTCTGCCACCATGGAAAATGTATCAGGGGTTTGAGACTTAGAAGAAGAGAGTGGAAAATGGAAAGAATGTAAAGATATATTCTGAAGAAAGGATTAGCATGATTTAGTGCTGGGTTCAGTACACAAGAAAAATTACTAAGAATGTATTTTAAGATTGCATCTCCTTAGAAAAATGAGGTATATTTAATTAAGACAACACAACTCCTGTTGATACAGCACCTTCACATCTCTGCTGGTTTTCACAACAACCTCTTTGGGACATAAAAATAAGTGCAACCTCAGGGACCTTGAGTTGTAAAGAGAAAAGGACTTCGTTTTGAGGCGCAACCAAAGGTGACAGGCAGACAGAGCAGACCCTGTCAGTAATCTACCCCACGGCCATCGCCTCTTCTTCCAAGGGTGACTGGGAGCATTCTGCCCACCACCAAGGGAAGAAGCACAATTAGTCTAAGACAGTTTTGTCAGTCCTTTCCTCTTTTCCTTCAAATGCTGTAGGGGGTGGGCATAAGACTCATTTCTGGTCAAGGTGATTTAAGCAGATTTCTGAGAAGTCGTTTTTTCCCCTGACAAAAGAGCAGAAGGATCTTTCTGCTTCAGCCTCTTGCCTTTTGAGAGCTAGATGGGCATCTTGTGAGTGTAAACCAAGACATTGTTAATAGGCAGACAGTGACAGAACAGAAAGATGGAACGAGCACAGATCCTTGGTTTCCTATTTGAGTTACCAAATCATCCCTGGGAGTGCCAGTCTCTGGGCTTCTTGTTAAATAACCAATAAATATCCTAAAGTTTATGCCATTGTGAGTTGGTTATTCTACTCTTTAAATCTGAAAGAAATATAATTCCATATGCCAGACTCAAGGGAAAAATTTTAAGCAGGGGACAGAAATTAGTTGCAAATGTAAAAAGACAACAAAAATTAGGTAGCATCATGGAATCCAAGTTTAGAGATTTTCAAACATAAAGCAAATTGCAGTTGACAAGGAAGATGGAGAAAATGGTACTTGCACAACTATAGAGAGATGATAAACAATCTTATTGGAAATTTCCGGAGAAACATTTTAGTGTAGTAATGGGATGGATGCCAGACCATGTGAAATTGTATGTGAAATGGATGGAAAGAATATGGAAATATCTGGTATAACTGATTATAGTGTGATAACTCTGTGTGGAGGGGGTAACAGTCAGGAATGCTTTCCTGAAGAAACTTCTAAGACTTCAGGGAAGGATGAGAAACTACACATAAAAAGAGATCGAAATTCAGTATAATCTGATTTGGTTGGTTGATTCTTCTTGTCTTGCA